GGCCCGCCGGAAGGGACAACTTCAGGGGATTGGCCCCCGGTTCAAAAAGGTTGTCTACCCCTGCTCTAATCTCATTGCTAGAGTTTATAAAACCTAGCAACCCCAGATCTTGCAAGATGTTGGTGTATCTTTTTTTATCATGATGATGATGGGTTTGTGTGCTTGTCTCAAGGCCCTTTTATACTACACAGTTACAGAGGTATGATTCCACTTTTAACTGCTATGGTTCCATCCTGTGGAATCCCCGTGATTTACAATTTAGGGAGGGTTTTTAAAGAATTTTCCACCAGATTGCTATTGGGCTTCATCAAACTGCAAGCATCAGAAATTTACAGGATGCAGCCATGAAAGTTTTAAAGTGGAATCATAGTGCTATAATTGTGTGGTGTAAAGGGGTCCTTGATTACTGGAAAAATTATTTTGCTCATATTCTTGGAGAAGTTTATTTAGTGCTTCAAATCAGCAAGGTCCACAGCAGAAACTCAAATGTCCAGTGTACCCCTCCTGTAGGTACAGAAAATCTTCCGAGTACTTTTTTAAAAAGATGTCAATACTCTCCAAATAATTCTGACCCACAGTTGGAGGCAGACCTTGGCTAGGTTACAAGAATAACAGGAACAAAGAGAACAAAGAAGCAATCTCTTTCTCCCCCCTTCTCTGTCCTCTCTCAAGAAATCCCTTTAAAATCTAGGATGTATATTTCTTATTTAGCAATCCATCAGAAGCCCAATTCAACCTTTCTCCCAAGAGTGGTCTTTTAAAATTCCACTCAGAACCTTTTTATTTCAGACATATAAGAACATATAAAATGACATATATGACATATTTCCAACATTGATTTGCAATGTGTGTTCACCTTTCCAATTACATCAGGCTTGCTTTGTGCATCTGACAGGCTATTAAGTCCCATCATTCTGTTGTGCTTTCTGCCACATGACCTGATCACTTGCTAGTGACCCAAATTTTGAAGGGGTCCCTGGTAATCAAAACAGAGTGCTTTTATTTCCTTCTCGCTATCTTTATCGGTTGGGCTTGTTGCCTTGCAACAGTCTCATTGCTTTAGGTGAATCTCAAAGAGTTTAGAATTGAACATGATACACCTGTGAAATTTTTATGATCAGGTTTATATTTTGATGGAATCTTGTGTGCTTCCAGGCAGTTAAATAAATAGGCAAGACAATATTTCTTTGCATCCAACACAAAAATTGCACATTAATGCATATTCTGGGGTGACCTGTGACTCTCATAGTGATTTTATTCAGGCCCCTAGGAGGTATCTGAATCTCCTGTTTCTTCCCTTCCCTATTCTTGAATCTTGGCTCTGACTCCACTCACTGCTAATGTGCACCCTCTTACCCAATTATGCCAAAGGGAAAACAATTCTTAACGTCCAAAAATATTTTGCACTCCTGATGCCTCCTCTGCATATACATTAGACAATTGGACTGACTGCATGGCTGCACATAGATTGTCCCATAATATAAGCAGCATATTATACATTAGATGCGTGTAATGAAGTTCCAGGGAGAAGCAGCATGGTATAGTGGTTTGAACGCTGAACTATGACTCTGGAAACCAGGGTTTGATTTCCTGCTCAGCTATGAAACCCACTAGGTGACCTTATGCAAGTCACATACTCTCAGCTTCAAAGAACAGCAATGGTAAACCCCCTCTGAAGAAACTTGCCAAGAAAACCCCGTGATAGGGTTGCCTTAGGGTCTCCATAAGTCAGAAACAACTTGAAGGCACACAACAACAACAACAAAATGAAGTTCCAACAGACTCTTTGTGTACACAGCAGTAGCTTAGAGGAGGTGGAAGGAGGGAGAGATGTGTTCTATGGATCAATAGAACAGAGATAAATGAATAAAGGGTTGCAGGTAAAAACACACTAATGCAGGGGTAGGCAACCCAAGGCCCGGGGGCCGGATGTGCCCCCCCCGAGGCCTTTGGACTGGCCCCAGGCCAGTCCTGCTGCCGCCGCCATCGCCACTGCCCACCATGATGATATTGATTATTGTTGTTATTACTTGTTCTTGGGGTTTTCTTGGCAAAATCTCCACAGGGGTTTGCCATGGCTTTTCTAGGGCTGAGAGAGTGTGCATGCATATTTTTAATTTTTTTATTTTTAAAAAAATATTTATTTATTTATTTATTTATTTATTTATTTATTTTTGGTGCTTTATTTTTGGTGCTTTGTCTGAGGGACAGCAACCCGGCCCCCGGCTCAAAAAGGTTGCCTACCCCTGCACTAATGCATCATTGTGCATGACTGCAGCACCTTTCCGCATATACAACTATCTAAGGGCTGAAGACTCTCCAGAGGTCTTCCTCTGCATGCCACCAGTGAGAGCAATATACTGGCATGACACACATGGAGCATAAGCACTCTGTAGACATAGTTCTGTACTTTCCACCTAACAGCTGCCAAGATCTGTAGGCCATGAAGAGTGAGAAGCAAGCCAATCAAAATGGATTGCCTCTTGTCCCTGCTATACAGTTGGCCCGCCATATCCACAGATGCAATCATCTACAGTTTGATATAATTTCCAAAAAGTAAACCTTGATTTTGCTATTTTACATAAGGGACCCAATTTCACTATGTCCTCAAGCAGCCCACTGCCTAATACATTTGCTGACCTTTTCCCCTCTGAGAAACCCTGAGCTTTGGGGGTAAGTCTTGTCTGCTGCTGCTACTATGAAAAAAGAACTTTAGAAGGATCCATGCCATCCCCCTATTTGCAGTGAGGACAGGCTGCCAAGCAGACTTCTTGAAGGGGAACAACAAACGTGGTATTACTCAATGGGCTTCTTAGTCATGCTCAAAATGGAGTACATTTTGCAATACTTCCTGGACAGAAGGTTGAAATGTACCACATTTCCTGGAAAAGGAGGACATCTGGTCATTCTGTCCCACTTTAATAGCTATGGCAACATCCTATGGAATCCTGCCATCAAAAGAGGGACATTTTGAATTCTCAGCCAGGGAGATCTAGTGCTTCACCACATTACAAATCCCAGGGTTCCATAGGATACCTCCATGCCAGTGGCATAAGAGTGTAGTGTGAAAAGGCCCTCAGTCAGTATTCCAGGGCCATGAACATACTTTCTTCTTATGAGCATGGGCTGTAAAGCCTGCTGGTGCTCTCCTCTTGATTGTGGATGGTGCTGACGAAAAACTGGCATTCCTAGGACTCTTGAGGGCTGAGTTTGCTATGAATGTCCTGCCTTTTTCCCAATTTGGGGACTCAAGGTGGCTTACATCAATTAAAAATCACCAAGCACTGCCCAGAGTCACATTATGGTATTCTGTTTAAAAACAAATCAGTTTCCTAAGTCACTGCTCTGTGCAACATGTTCACCTTCTCTAGCTGCTACCACACGGCAGAATTAATTCAGTTTGGCTCCACTTTGTCATGGCGCCATCCTATGAAATCCCAGGATTTGTAGTTTGCTGTGGCACCAGAGCTCTCTGATGAGAAGGCTAAATATCTCACAAAACTACAAACCCCAGAATTCCATAGCATTGAGCTATGACAGTTAAAGTGGTGTCAAATTGCATTAATTCTGCAGTGTAGATGCAACATCAGAATGTAAACTAGAGCCCAGTTCCAAGCAACAGCTCCCCAGACTGTATTTGGAACATAATTCAGTGGCTTCCCAGACTGCAAACCAGGACTGAACTCTATGTAACAGCTTTCTGAGCTTTAACTAAACTCCTTTCGTAAATCTTAATTCCAATGTTTAAAACAGGGGTCTTCACATACCTAGGGCTGGTTGCTGGTCCCCAGGTCTTCCGCCGGGCTGGGTGGGTGGGGGGAAATGGGGGAAACCTGGAAAGGTTTTAGAAAACAAGAGATTTCTGGCATTCTGCATTTGCACATTGATAACCCCTAAACACAGCAAACGTGTTTTCTTGGAGACACACAGAGATCCATATTCTAACATTTTCCAAGATCTTCACAGATAAGCCCTTAAAAAAAAAAAACACCTAACATCCTTGCTGTTTTTTCCAAGTAATCTGTTTTTAACTCTGACTAAAATGGTTATCAATAGGTAGAGCATGGAAAATTTCCTTTTTTGGACTACAACCAGCTTTCCCTCAGAGAGCATGGCCAGTAGTTAAATTATTTCAGGAGATGCAATCAGGGCTACTTCATCAAAACAGATTCAAACATAATGTGGATGAGACAAAGTTGTTGGTGTAGAAGCTTCATTGGTTAATAACAGATGCAGCACATGTTTCATAAAAGAAAGGTCTGTGTTCTCTTTAGCATGGAGAGTTCTGATCTACAGAGAATATGCCCTTGAAGGCTACCATGTCTCCAGTCAACCTCCCAACCCTAGGCAAATGCCAAAGGCATAGAAAAAAGCCGGGGCTCTCTTACGCAGAAGTAGCTACAAAAAAGTAGGAATAACGCAGCTCTCTAGATGTTATTGGACTACAGCTCCCAGCATTCATCACCATTGGCTATTCTGTATCAGACTACTGGAACTTGAAGTCTGTGAACATCTGGATGGCTACATGATTTTCACTCTCGAGCAACAGCAAGGTCCCTTCCTTGCCTCTCACAGCTAGGCTGAAAGTTGTGGGGTGAAAAGCCACATTTTCCACTACAAGCACATGATCATAGTCCTTGGTGTTCAGGAATGTTCAAATATTAAGCTGAAGAGTTCTTTGTGGCCATTCCCTGGTATTTGTAACTACACAGCAATGTAGTCCATTCAAAGCTACTGCAGGCATTGAAATGAACATCATGGAAACCATGCAGGTATTGTTGTTGTTGTGTGCCTTCAAGTGGTTTCTGACTTATGGCGACCTGGGGTCCTCTCAGCAAGTTTCTTCAGAGGGGGTTTGTCATTGCCATCCTCTGAGGCTGAGAGAGTGTGACTTGCCCAAGGCCACCCAGTGGTTTCCATGGCCAAGCTGGGATTCAAACCATGGTTTCCAGACTCATAGTTCAATGCTCAAACCACTATGCCACGCTGGCTCCACCATACAGATATACATGGCAATTTTCCCAGTGATAATTTTCAAACTCACTAGGTAAAGGTAAAGGTTTTCCCTTGACAAGTCTGTCTAGTCGTGTCCAACTGTAGGGGCCAGTGCTCATCTCTGTTACTAGCATGACTGCACAGAACACTGTTACCTTCCCAACAAAGTGGTACCTATTTATCTACTTGCACTTTTACATGCTTCTGAACTGCTAGGTTGGCAGCAACTGGGACTAGTGATGGGAGCTCACTCCTTCACACGGAACTTGGGTTTCGACTTGCCAACTTTGTGATAATCAGAGTCGGTGTCTTAACCGCTGAGCCAAAAGATAACTTTTCCCAAGGGAACATGGGCAGCTTCTCTACATTACTCTTTGTTGTACTTTAACTGACAAGTTAAAATATGTTCGTTTGTCTAGTCATTGTAATTTGTTTACACTAAATACACAATGAGTTGTTTTTAATCTCTCTCAGATTTATGGACAAATATTCTCCTATTGTGTTTTGTTGATACTGCTTTCTTTTACCTATGTACATAAGCCTGGAACCAATTCCTGTGAAAATACAATATCACCTCTTTAGCCCTGGGCAGAAATAGGCTGGTGGTGGGGGCTGGGGGAGAGTTTCCAGTTTTTGTAAGTGGGAGCTTTTCTTCCCCCTAAGTCTTACTGCTGTTTATTTTATTTTATTTTTTTGGAAGGAGAGAAGGGTTAATTCTCAAGATTTTTGTGGGTTTTTAGGGCTGTGTGGCCATGTTCTAGAAGAGTTTCTTTCTGACGTTTCGCCAGCATCTGTGGCTGGCATCTTCAGAGAAAACTGGAATGGAAGAGAATGAGTCTATATATACTGTGAGACCCTGGGTAGGGAGGAGTGGTTTCCAGGTGAACTGTGTGTTGTTCTGTGTTGAATAGGTATTGTTCTGTTGTTAATGGCATGGCTCCAGGGTGGAAGGAAATGCAATCAAGGAGATTGTCTGCTGTTGTCTGCTGGGAACGCATTTTATGCCCAGGATGGTTTATAATGTGTTCTGCTACTGCTGATTTTTCTGACTGGCCCAGTCTGTAGTGTCTCTCATGTTCCTTGACTCGTGTTTGGTGAAAGTGTCATCCACATATTGGAACCAAGTTTTTGGTGCTGTTTCCAGGGCTTGTTTAACACTCTGAAAAACAAGTCCTGGA